TTACCTCCTGGCAGCTATGGCTGTGGACCGTTATGTAGCCATCTGTAAGCCACTTCGCTATCCCATAATTATGTCCCGAACAGTCTGCATCCAATTGGTAGCTGGTTCATATGTCATGGGCTCAATAAATGCCTCTGTACACACAGGTTTTACATTTTCACTGTCCTTCTGCAAGTCAAACAACATCAATCATTTTTTCTGTGATGTTCCCCCAATTCTTGCCCTTTCATGCTCCAACATTGACATCAACATTCTGCTCCTTCTTGTCTTTGTGGGATTCAATTTGGTGTCCACTGTGTTGGTTGTTATCTTCTCCTACACATACATCGTGGCTGCCATCCTAAAGATGACTTCGACTGCAGGGAGGAAGAAAGCCTTCTCCACATGTGCCTCCCACCTGACGGCAGTCACCATATTCTATGGAACTCTCTCTTACATGTACTTACAGCCTCATTCTAATAATCCCCAGGAGAATACAAAAGTGGCCTCCGTATTTTATGGCATTGTGATTCCCATGCTGAACCCTCTAATCTATAGTTTGAGAAATAAAGAGGTAAAAGAAGCTCTAAAAGTGATAGGAAAAAAGTTCATTTAGATTGGACTCAACATTCTTCAAATTCGGCACATCAAGCATTCTGTTGAGATGTTTTACCACAATGTAATATTTCTGAAGTTAAAAACATGTTCAGCTCTTAACTTAAAAAGATAAAATCTCACAAGGTGGGAAATATGCTAAGCACCCTTCCTGACAATCATTTTCCCTGGAATATAGTTTGAGAAACACATCTTGCATTACCCATGGAGAAGTACTTTATTTACATTACCCATGGAGAAGGGATTATTTAAAATACTGAGAAGCACATATAAACTTTATAAAGTGTTGTTTTAAATATTTCTCAAATATGATTTCATGTTTCTAAAAACCCCTATTTTTATATAATCCAAATTACAATTGAAGTTCATTATTTCCACTCATTTAAACAAGTTTCTCAAATTGTCTTCAGTGAGGGCCTTCCTAAATTATGTTCAAAATAGTAAACAAATCTGAATGTAAAATAAATGTATTGCTTTTAAAAGCATCTTATGACTCAAGTTATCTTTTTTACACAAGATTCCCATATTTGTTGTATTTCCTGGTAGTTAAAAACATTTATTTCTGGGGCCGGCCCGGTAGCGCACTGCTCATATTTGTTGTATTTCCTGGTAGTTAAAAACATTTATTTCTGGGGCCGGCCCGGTGGTGCACTGCTACAATGCGCCACTTGAGAGCGCGGCGGCACTCCCACCGAGGGTTCGGATCCCACATACAGACCGGTTCCCGCTCACTGGCTGAGCAAGGTGCGGGCGCAACACCGAGGGTTGTGATTCTGTTGCTGGTCCCGGTCCGGTACGGGTACGACACTGAGGGTTGCAATCCATTGCCGGTCACGAAGAAAGACAAAAAAAGGAAAAAAAAAAAAAAAAAAAACATTTATTTCTGTCATTAGTTACCCTCTTAATTTGCATTTCATCTCTTTCTTGCCTAGGTAAAGGGAACCCCTGCCAATCTTTTCCATTTTTCTTTCTAACATAAAAAAATCTAGATGTAGATGAATCTAAAAACCTGGTCATGGTCATTCAAAGAGTCACACCAATTAGGTAACTTTAAACGACAAATACTCAGTTGGAAGTGGAATGGAGGCCAAAAGCCCTTGCATTCACGAAGAAAAACTGTTGACAGGAAATCTTTTGTAGATAGATTGAGAGCAGGTGATGGAAACTCCCACCTCAGTCCTAGGATGCCATGCTAGCTAGACTAGAGAGCAAATTTCACATCAAGTTAACACCAGCCAGTTAATGAACTGGCCAGAAAATGTACTGCTACATAACAGCATGAGGAGAACTGGGCAAAAGAAAAAGATATATGTTCAAATATGACATCCTGCATAATTTCTAAGAGGAAAGAAAAAATTAACCTGAAGTCAAGGCAGGATGAGCATAATCTCACTAGCAGAGATGTGTCTTTATAAAAGAAAGGACTTTCTCTTCAGGGAAGGTCCCAGTATCTTTAAGGACCAGGACTGGAAACAATTGAGGTATCGAGATATGAAGTGAATTATGAAACATAATACAGCTAATAAGAGGAAGATCAATGACTCAAGTCCAGGTTTTTTGACTCCACAACTAACCACGGTCTTGGAAAGAATATAAGCAAAGTCCATAGGCAGAACTGCTCAGGATGAAAAACCCTTAAAATTTAGTCACTTCTGACAGCTTTTCATTGAACTCTGCTGGGAAGATCAGCTTTTGGTCTGACAGCGGTGAGCTCATGAATGCTTTATCTTTTATCACTCACAGGATAAGTCCCATCCCTGCAGGCCTCAGAAGTAAAATGCCCCACTTGGAGCAATTGGAAAACTTTAATGTGAGAAGACAACCAGCCGGCAGCAGATGCAAAAAGTTCCAAGACGAATCTAAAAAAAATGAAACAAACTGTGTTTTCATAATTAGTCACGTATTTTCCAATATTTGCAGAAAGCAGACAAACAAGGAATATAGTGCAGTATACGAAAAGTTTGCCTTTATGTCTGGGCAGCACATTCTAGTCCGAGAGAACATGAACCTTCCTGGGCATGAGGATAAAGTCTGGTAAACCTCATTAGTGACTGTATTCTCAAGTGTTCAGATTTTAAGATTTTGCCCTATTCAAAAGACAAACTATTTCCAAATTATTAGCAGAATTTCTCATAATATATATCATCCAGGCTAACACTGTTTGAAAGACAAACTATTTCCAAATTATTAGCAGAATTTCTCATAATATATATCATCCAGGCTAACTTTTTACTTACTTACAAATTATAAGCAAGAAATCCTCGTGAATATGCACCATTCAGGCTTACTTATTTGCTAAGTAGTACACAACGAATTCCATAGTAGCCTCAAAATTCGTAGAATTGAAAATGATACCTAGAAAACAGAGGCTGAGAAGTCTGGGTGGCTCACAGGTAATGAAAAGCATAAGTTCTCAGGATCTTTGCTATGCAAGTCAAAGGTCAATAACATGAAGGGTGGTTAAGAACACAGACATTGGAAGCAAAAAGTCTATAACGCTATGGCAATTGTTGTATCTTTCATTATTTGTTTAATTTTTAAGCTTCTACTTTTGAAGATATAACAAAAAGAATAATTCTTTGAATTTTCAAAAGGTGAGAACAGAACTTTGGTTACTAGAGGTGGGAAGGGGTAGGGGTAGTAGGGAGAAATTGGTAAAGGGTCACAAAGAATGATTACATTTCACCATGGTGAATATGCTAATAATCCTGATTTAGTCATCACATAATGTATATAAATATTGATATTCAACCTTGTACACCATAAATATGTATAATCAATTATATTTCAATTTTAAAATAATAATGAAAAAACAGTATGGTATGTATAAAATAAGTATGTGTCAGCTGTATATAAACAGTGTTGGAATGGCTTAGAAGTAGGAAAATAGGGAAATGTATGACCAAATCAAAATGAGCTATATAGGATATTTTTCTTCACAGTTTATCTCACCATTTATTTATCCCCTAATGTCTCTAATAAAGCTTTAGAAATTTTCCTATCAGAAGTATTAGCTCATTTTGTCTCCCTGGACCTATTAAGATTTAAAAAGCACTGCTCAGTTTCTCAGCTGCCTCTTCCAAATCAACCAATATGCCTTTGGCAAATGC